CGGGTGCGCCCCGGTCACCTCCGCGCTCCAGCCGGGTCCTTTACAGCTGCTGCGACAGAGAAGGGGAGTCAGTAGGAGGGACTGGACCTGGGCCAGGTCTGACCGGAATCAGCAAAGACACACCTGAGTCAACTTAAGTGCGTGCCAGGCCGATGGAAATACACACCGGCTCCACTTAAATAGCAAACCAGGCAAACACCAGGGTTTTCCCCGCCCCAACCCTGGGTGTGGGACAGCGGAGAAGGCCAGCTTCAGTCCCGCAAACCTGCTTCCCGCCCAGCCCTGCCATCTCCGTAAATGGCACCAGCCCTGACCCCCGCGCCCACACAGCGGCCATCGTCCAGCTTCCTCCCCTCCTCTCGCCCTCATCCAACCATCCGGGAGTCCCGTCTGTTCTAATTGGAAATACACCCCTGCCCGTCTCCACACCCGTCCGGCCCCTACTCTGGAGCAAGCAGCCATCATTGCGCGGGCTAAGTCCCAGCGTGGCCTGCCTGCTGCGCTGTGTCTGAGCACTGGGCACGGTGATCATACTTGGCTTTACAAAGAGCCTCTGTCAAAAGGAAGGGAGGAGACGCGGGGACCAGAACCGAGTGTGCTGGGTCAGGACGGTGAGGGGAAGGCGCTCCTTTGGGAAAGCTGGTGACAAAGGCCTGGAGTCCCAGAGCAGATGGCCCTGAGCACACGGACAGGCAACAGGAGCCTAAAAGGTTCAGGGAAGAGGGTGACGCACACGCAGGCCCAGCCCACCTCCCCGGACCCCGAGCCGGGAGGCTCAGGAACCCCTACCTGAGCCCGCCCTCCTGTCGGTGCCTGCTCTCCAGCTGCTCAAACTCCTCGGAGGCCAGCACCATCCCGCTGTCCGTCTGGTTATCCTGTGCAGAGAACAGCGAGGCTGTGGCTGGGCTGCAGGCGCCTGCCCCCCGCAGGCGGGGCCGCATGGACCATAACACCCATCTCCTGAGCAGGAAACGGGCATCCGATGCCTCCTGAAGCGCGCAGGTGAGGGCCATACGCCCGCCCGCCATAAAGGGGGAAACTGAGGCTTGGAGGCCGAGCCCGGCCTGTGCCCAGGAGGCAGCGAAGCTACAGCGCCCCATGCTGGGGACCTGGAAGGCAGCCAGGCATGTTTCCAGGCTGTTAGGACGAAGGTCTCGGGTCTGGACAGTTCTTATTAAAAGCTATTCTCTTTAAAAAAATATGTTTCATTGATTTCAGAGAGAGGAAGGGAGAGAGATAGAAACGTCAATGATGAGAATCATCGATCGGCTGCCTCCTGCACGCCCCCTACTGGGGATTGAGCCCACAACCCGGGCATGTGCCCTTGACCGAAATCGAACCCGTGACCTTTCAGTCCGCAGGCCGACACTCTATCCACTGAGCCAAACCAGCCAGGGCTTAAAAGCTATTCTTGCTAAATTTTACAACGCAGCACAGTATTTTACAGACCAGCTGTAAACAGGATGACCTTGACAGGAACTCAACAGATAACTGTCGCCAACTGCGAAGAAGACGTCAACATGCAATGACCAAGGCGTGTGCCTAGGCAATGGCTAGGCTTCCCCCGGGCACATGGGACACAGCTTGGCTATGGACGCCCGTCTCCTTGCGGCAAGTAGATGAAACCACCTGTGACAACCACAGTCTCTTGACCAGAGCAACCCAAGCAGCGAACCCTGCAGTTCGGTAACGAATACGGCAACGCCCATGGAGCTCTCCTAACAGACCCCCTCTCGCCGGGAGGACCTGGGGAAGCAGGGGCAGCGTCCCCAGTGGACGGAGACCTGCCCCACAGGAGACTCCTGCTTGGTGCTACCACCAGAAGGCTGCCGGGCCCCCGGACAGCGAAAGGGTGGCCGCCTGACCCTGGCTCCTTCAGCGCTTCAGCAGGGAGGTGGGTAGGTAAGCCCTGTGGTCGCTTCCATTAGCGTTTCCATTCCTGTCTGGGTCTCGGGTTGTTGGGAAGGTAGGTGCCGTCCGGTGCGAGCTGGACTTCGGCTGGTCAGGCAGGAGCTGCTCTGGCCCAGGTTCCGGGCTGACCTGGCTCGAACGCTGAGGGCCGAGGAACGCCTGTGGGAGCCCAGGCATCCTGGCCTGCTTGTCGGCCGGGTGCCCTGCAGAAGGTGGGTTTTGTGTTGGTGCCTGGTCTGTCTTACAGTAAATGTGTCACGATAGGAAACTCAAATTCGATCCCCGATGCAGCCTCTCGGGGTGCATGGTTCAGAACTGAATAAGAAGAGCCCTGGTGATTTGACTTAAAGAAATTAAGCACAGCCCTGGCCGGGAGCTCAGTGGTTAGTGCTTCGGTCCATGGGCCGAAGGGTTGCAGTTTCGATTCCAGTCAAGGGCACGCACGTACCTCGGTTGCAGGCTCGATCCCCGGCCCCCAGGTGGCGCATGTGTGGGAAGCAACCAATCGATGTGTCTCTCACATCCATGTCTCTCTCTGTCTCACCCCTTCCCTTCCACTCTCTCTAAAAATCAATGGAGAAAGGATCCTTGGGGGAGGATTCTCACACACACACACACACACACACACACACACACACACGAAATTAAGCGCTTATATGAATGAAGAAATATGACGAATGGCTCGATGGTGGGAAGCAGCCTGTGTGTCCAAGGCGGGCCTGCTCCAGCCGGGAGTCTAAGCGGACTTGGGAGGCACTGCTTTCCAGGTGCCGCCTCTGCCTCCTCGGGTTTCAGCATTTACTACACACATCAGCCTCACCTTGCAACACCCCCCCCCCCAAGGAGTGCACTTTTGGGGGCACCGCGCCAGGGGACTCAGTGGGAAGCGGGAATGGCGCCCGGCGGTTCCCTGAGCAGCCGTGGGCTTCCCAGCAGACGGGCCGTGCCACCTCCACTGAGGACCACAGGGAGCTCGCGGTTTCGGTGGAGGGGCGCTGAGACAGAAGACAAGCAAGACGAGCAGCAAAGGTTCGGCTGTGGGGACGCGGGGGCCAGCCTACGGCTAATGAAAAAGGCCACATGCCACATCTCTTCACAGTCTCTCTGATATAAAGATGTTCTATTAGCCGGTGTGATCGCAGAAATTTTACCAAAGGTGCGATAACACAGGCCAAATATCCTAGGGATTTTGAAAACAACAAACAAACAAACGAACACCAAAAAGCTCCCTAAGATGATCTGATTGGATTGGGGCCCGAAAGAGGGAGAAAAACCTGCTATGGTGTAAAAATGTAGTTGCGTCCACCGAACTGGCTTTGCAACATGCAGCAGGAAGGCTCAGTCATGTGTGTGTACCTTGAGGAACAGAAGCCAACAGGGTGGGCTTCCGAGCCACGTGGTGCGAGGGAGTGGGGTTTCGGGGGCCTGAGGAGTAAGTCACTGGGCCCGGCCACTCGTCTGCAGGCGGCCCTGAGGCCAGTGCCTCCGGCAGGTGCGCAGTCAGGCGTCCCTGTGTCAGCCCAGCCCAGCCCAGCCCTGATGCCGCCCGACACCTCAGCTTCTTTCCCGAGTGGCCCATTAGCTTCCCCCCAAAGCTGGGGGCTGGCTGGGGTGGGGCAGGCTGGAGTGAGAGAGCTCGCTCTTGTACCCACAGGCAGGGAAAGGTGCTTCTAAGCTGTGTCCCCTCCTTGGGGGTGGCCCCTGCGGCTCTAGGAGCCGCCGACTGGCAGTGACTGGGCTGCCGGGCAGGAGCCCTGCTGCGGAGCAGCGAGTGGAGCCCTCAGTGCCCTGTCACGGCAGAGGCGGCCGGGGAGGAGCAGACACTGAGGTGTGAGCTGGAGGAGAAGGTGCGGGGAGGCCACAGCGCTTTTTAGCAGATTGGGCTGAACTGCAGCATGTGAGCCACACGATAAGCAGGCGTCCTGGGCCTGTCCTCTCCACTCAGCCCGCCTGGGGCAGGGCGGCAAGCTGTGCGAGGCCTGCTCAGTCCCCGTCTCTAGGGCCCTGAAGCTGAGGGCTGAGAACGGGACCTGCAGCCGCTGGGAGAGAGGGCGGGGCTGTGAGTGCGGAGGGAACAGCGGAGGGAACAGCTGAGACGGGACTGCAGAGGCCCGGCCCCCAAGGCGCTGAGCAGCCTGGGCATTGCAGGGGCAGGGGGCTCTCTCCTGAGCTGGCTGCTGCCGCCTGCAGAGCCCGGAGGCCCTGGGCGGGGTGCACAGCCCTCCCGCTTACCGCCGAGGCCTTGTAGGTCGTTGGGGTCATGGGAAATTCTTCGAAGGTTTTCATCCTGGAGGTTCCCTGGGTCCCTCTGGCCAGGCTCCCCGGGAAGGACACACAGTTGTAGTATCTGTGGGGAGAACACAGCCAGCGCTGAGGAAGCACCCCACAGCCCTCCCGGAGCTCAGGCCCACCCCCACTCCGCTCCTGCCGGAAGGACCCTGGGCCTGGGGTGCTGCCGGGGCTCCCCCTGGGCACCCTCACACGCCCCCTGCGAGAGGTTCAACCTCCTGAGGCCACTGCTGGGAGGCGGGAAGGGGCGTGGAGCGCACCCAGCGGGTGGGGGAGGCAGGGGAGACCTTGGCCCTCGAGGGGCCGCCCTGTGCAGGAGGCGGTCCTGGGGTGCAGGGGTGGGTGGAAGGAGCTGGCAGGAACCAGCTGGCTGCTCCTGCCCCCGCCTGGCTGTGAGGCTGTGGTCTGCACTGGGGCAGGTGGGCAGGAGTCAGCGCCTCCTCCCGGCTACGCCAGTGGGAATGTGGGGCGGAAACAGCCCTCCGATGGGAATTCTGGGACCCAGGCTCCGTTCTCACTCCAGGATTCTGGTTAGTGGGTGGCCTACCTGGCTCCCAGGGCCCCTTCCGTGGCCCCTGGCCTCACTCTCCCCCCACCCCTTCCCTCTTCCTGCGAGGCGCAGCTGGCCTGGCTACCGCTCCCCGATGGGCACTCCCTCTAACTGAGCCTCCCGGGGGCTAGGACTGCAGGGAAGACGAGGGCAGAGAAGGACACAGCGAGGAGCAAAGCCGCAAGGCCACGTGCCCTGCACCTCCTCCCCGCTGACCAGGAGGCGTCACCACCAGCACCAGCTCTGCCACCTACGATCCCTGCGGTTCAGCGGGCATAGTGGTCTCCCAGGCCCTTGTCGCTTGCTGTTTCCTTGCTGACTGATGAGGATAAAACACACCACGTCTAAACTGCCTTCTTCTTGCTGGGGGACCCCTGGACCAGGGCCGGGGGGGCGGGGGACGGCGCTGACCTGGCGGCCAGGCTGTGGGGGCGCAG